TGACACCGAGCAGTTTCCGCTGCACGCGGTCTGCACTTCCCAGCCCAACAGCACCTCACAATTCTGTTTTTCAAGGGAAGCGCGGCCGTGAACGCGCTGAACTTGGCGTCCTGTGCGGACGGCGGCCCGCGTGAGGTGGGGTCGGGAGCCCTGGCAGGCTGGGCACAGCCCACGTGCACACGTCAGGGTGCTCAGAAGGGCCAGCAGAGGAGCGTGGGAAGGTCCACGGGACACTGCCCACGGCTCACTGAGCGTCTCAACGCAGCCGGAATGGTCAGCAGCCGCTAAAATGAGACGAACACCCAGGGCGTCTGCCGCTTGGCCCTGCCCCACGATAAAACCTGGACAACGTACTGTTTCCTTTCCTTCTTTGGGTATTTGGTGTCACCGGCTGACATCAGGTGTTTGATGTGTCCTGCCGAAATCTCATCGTTCACTTGTAAGACTGACCAGCCCTCTCGCCATGGACGACAGCGTCAGAGGCGGAGGAATTCCACACCTGTCATCTGGGCGCGCCCTCTGCCCCCGGCCGGGCTGTGGAAATGCAGGCTCGGGACAGCCCCTGTGACTCCAGGCCCCCGTGTGTGGGGGCTGGTGAACCTGCCTGTCCGACAGCCTGTGGCAAAGGAGGCCGGCCACTGCCCAGCTCCCTCCCGCGCCGAGGGACAGGGCCGGGAGGTCAGCACAGCCCCAGCCAGGTGCATGCTGGGAAGTGGGGCAAACCGAGAGGCTCCCGCCACAGAGGCTCTTGGCACCAAGCGTGAGGGACCCCGAAACACACGTGGAGTCAGACAGAGAAAGGACATTTTCTACTCCCACTCCCAGCAGGGGCCTGATGGGGCAGATTCACGGAGGGGGCGGAGGGCAGGGCTGGGGCGGGCAGAGGCCTGACGGCACCGCTTCTGTTTGGGGCTGAGAGGTCCTGGGAGTGGAGGGCGCTGGGCCGCCTGCCGCCCACGCAGGGGAACCGCTGGGCCGGGCGCCTGCAGGTGACGTGGGCTCACTTTACGTTACGTCTCCCGAAGGGAAAACAGCAGCGTGAACAACAGGAACAGCAGGCGAGCGAGCGAGGGCAGCCTTGCTTTGCCTGCAGGAGGCGGCGGCCTGAAACACAGGGCTACCTGTGAGGCCGGGTGGGCTCCGGCTTCTCTTCGTCTAATAGACAAGTGGACGCCTGCGAACACTGCCGCAGCCCCCGCTGGGGCCGACGCCCTAACGCAGAGGGCACAGGATTCGGGGCACGAACCCCGGGGCCGTCTGTGGCCCCATCAGAGGTTAGCCTTCAAAAAGCTGAAGTTTCCTGGCGCAACGCGGCCTTTCCTGCCCTGGGGCCGAGGCAAGCAGGCCCACAAGGCCCCTTCAGGCCCCCGGGGAGCTGCTAATGCTTGAAGTGGCAAATCGACAACTTCTGGAGCCATGTCAACCCAGAAGTCTCGTGGTGGAGGGAAGCACCCAGAAAATCTGCAGCAGCAATGCTGTGTAAGCAGAGACCTCTCTGGATGGGACGTGGGGGCTTTGGGGGCCCATGCACAGGGCTCCCCCTGAGAGGCATTTGAGGATACGCAGGTCAACGCTGGCATCTCCTGGGCAGTGGGTATCTTCCCCAGCACAGAAGGGGGCCAGCCAGTCGGCCTGGCCCCAGGCTGGGGGTCGCAGGGCTCAGCCCTGACCGGCCTGCGGGTCCTGATGTGAGAGATGGGGGTGCGGCTCGGGGTGACGGCGCTAAGGGCCCTGAAACTGAGTAGCTGGCAGGCAAATGCCCTCGACACCAGCATCTCCGGTGAGCCGCCTCCCTCCAGGATGGGTGAGAAGTCACAGGGCAGCTCGGTGGTCACTCCCTACTTAGGGCAAGTCACTCCCTTTCTGGACTTAACAGCGGGCTGCTTCCTGTCAGATGTTTCTTGAAAGTGAACATAAGGGATGTCGGTGCAGAAGGACGCACCTGCCCACTCCCGGTATCCCCGCAGATGCCACTTCTGCGCCAGCTCCCGGCAGCCCGCTGTCCCGTGGCTCTGCACCTGGGCCCCCCTGGCCCTGCCCCCAGGGGGCAGCCCCCGTCTCCGGGCCCACCCGTCACGCCAGGAGCCTCCCCAGGCTTCTCACTTGGCAACGCGCTCCTTGTTTATGAGCAGGAGGACGAGCCTGGAAGATGCCTCTCTGGTACCCAGGATGCACTTCTTCTCCCCAAAGACATCACAGCTACAGTAAAAGAACCCAAAACCACCCCTAAATGCGCAGCGGCTACGCGTGCAGGCGGCCGCCCACGCACCGCCACGAGTTACCCTGCTGGAGACGACCTGCTTCTAGGTGGGGTTCGGCTCCTCAGATTCTGTCCTGTAACAGCCAGGTGACGAATCCTGGTCTTAGAAGGGGAAACTAGGTTTTATGTCAAAAAAGAGCCTTGGGCCGCGGGGCCGGCGTGGGCGCTCCCAGCCCAGCCCGGGAACAGGACGCCCGTCTGGCCTTGCAGGCCACTAGCTGCCCTGCAGGCGCTGAAGCAGGGCACTGCTCGAAGACCTGCGTCTTCGTTTCACTTAGAGTCGCTGGTTCCGAGGAGCCACGAGCGTGTGTGTCTCACACGCAGCTCTCGGAGGTCACTCTCCAGGCCCTGCCTGCCGGGGCTGCCAGGCCGCCTGGCCCCTGGGCGGCCACTGCAGACGGTCACCTCCGGGAGCGCCCTGCACCAGCTGAGGACACAATCTGCAGACAGTGCACGCCCTCACCCTGCCGGAACCCCCGGTGCAAACGGCTGTCTGTCAGGAGCTCTGCCCGCTCTCCACCTCCGGCTGGGGTGGCTTCTGTCCACCGGCCTGCGGCTGGTGCTGGGCTCTCCCCGGGCAGCGGCTGAGGCCCATGACCCATCGAAGACATACCCCTGCCCGCGGCTCCGGGCCGCCCCGGCCTCTGTCCACGTCTGAGCCAGGCCAGCCCTAACAGGACCTGAGCAGCGACCTGGCCGGTGATCCGCAGACGCACTTGCCCCAAAAAGGCCCTCAGACTACACCCTGCAGCCCTCGTCTCACGCCCCTGGGCGCCCTGAATCACAGGGCTCAGCACTGGGGCCTCAGTGTGCCACAGAGCCCCACGTGAGCCCTGGCCTCCCGGGAGGCTGGGGTGTCCCCCCCGGGCTCAGCCCCAGCACCTGGGCCTGCTCTTCCGCTGCCTCCTCCGGCTCCCCGGTTACGTGGACGGGCGTCTGTCTCCACCCCGCCTCAAGGGGACAAACGGGCGCCCGGGCAGGGGAACGGCTCCGAGGCTGCAGCCCGCACCCCACGAGCTGGGAGGGGTGCCGGGCGCCACTCACCATGTTGAACACCGCCATGGTCAGGATGATGGCCGTGGTGACCACCGTGAGGGAGACGCGCGGCCAGGGCCGGTCGGCGATGATGCCCGAGGACTTCAGGAGCCACAGGAGGGGGGCCGAGGCCATCTTGCTGCGCTGCTGGAGAGAGCACCCACGCCGTCACCGCGCGGCCTCCCTGGGGCGGGGCCGGGCCACGGGCAAGGCTGGGCGGGGG